AGATTTCGATGGATATTGCGACTCCACCTGACAGGTGCTGTGTGGGTCTGCCAGGTGTGTGGCTCAGCCAGGCAACGGTACGACAACGTTGTTAGTATCCCCACCTGAGCTACATAACATTGAATCGTCAACCCACGCTCTTTAGTAAGGGGTAGCTACGACTGTGACATAGACATGGTGCAGAAGAACGAACACAATATCGTACACAAGGCAGTTTTCGATGTGAAGTCTTTCTTTTATTTTGGCTATAGCAAATGTCTCAAAAAGCAATAGTTTTAATGTATGGTCTTTACAGATAGAGACCAAAGCAAATCCGTGAACCGCGCTTCGTCCGGTAAAGGCGCGACCAACAGGAAAGCTTTGTTAATTAATTTGTTAATTAACATAGCGTATAGATAAATAACAAATATTTATTTTTTATTGTTTAGGTTTATTGGCACGTAACTATGACGCCTGCGTCTCTTGGGCTAAAACGCCACATCGCGAATCGATAGTAGGATTCACAGAACCCCACTTCAGACTGAAGGCCCCCAATACAGAAGGCAAATTCTACGTAAAGGAAGGCAACCCAAGTGCGTTTGATCCCACTGATATGGCCACTGCCACCAAGATAGGTGAGTGTACAACTGACTTCCGTAGTGTGCACATAATACTGAATAATGAGTGTGTTATAGCTGCCTCTGAATTTAGAAGATTTACCTCAGGTGCCTCGAAAGTTCACACATTGCGTCATATATCTAAAACTCAATATTATCTTACACCACGAAACGCTAAAAATATTGTTAAAGTGCAATGTGATGTAGTGTAGAGCAGTTCAGTTTCTCATCTATAACACGTGTATCTTTGTTGTTTAGGTGTAATCAACACATTCTTTCACGGTGCATATAAAGGAATTAAGCAAAACCCAAATATAAAGGGAACTTTACTTGCATTGAGGCGAGACCACGTCAAAGTTGTTTCAACTAAAAGAGAACTTTGGAGGGTTATTTTAAGAGGAGAGGTAAGCAATGTCACGATATTTATGGCATACAAAAATTGTCCATCTGCAAAGTGCCACCGAAGTTGTGAAATCCCGGGACCGTGAAATAATAGTCTATTCAAAACAATATCTCTTTTTTGCGGTAATGTGAAAACAGTGTTTTATATTCTCCATTTAGGTTACCGCGGGATTTGCACCCTATAAATTAATGGATCTTATGGATCATCCTGGAGTTGTAAGCATTGGTGATTCGATTGACTGTGCCATGAACGACGATGGAACAACTGAGGTGGCCATGATGGTACGTAAGGATAGCACCTTGCCCGATTGGTGGAATTCGGCTTTCGAACGTATCAAGCATAATGGGCAATTCTATTCACTTTGTTCAAAATACGAACATGTAGGTGAGTATGTTTTTTATATTAACTCCTTTCCAAAGGTTGACCTGAATAATACCACGTTTTATACAATAGAAATGCAATTATATAAATACCATATTGATCTCAGAATGATGTGGAAATGAAATTTATCTCAAAGATACTCAACATAATGAACAAAATATTAATCCCCGTCAGAACAAATTACAAATGAATAACGTTGACGTTTGTTTCTTTTTTCAGCGGGAATATGTGCTCTATAAGCAGTATCGTCGATCCAGCGGTGTTCCTTGGACACATAATGTGACGTCACGTCGTTTTGATTTGCGTACTGGTATTGTGAATGTAATAACTGAATTAATAAACATGGGAATAAACTGTATGTGTGTTTTCGCTTTACTGGCTCTTTGTTCTCACATTATTTTTTTACAAATCGCACATGTTCAGCGTAAATTCATTCTTTTTTTATTCTCGACACAACCAAGGAAAGTACATAGATGCACTACGAAACACGCCGATAGAGGGCGTCATATTTTACGGATACACAAATAGAGTAATTGTATCGGTGATGTTTTTAATTGACTGAAATGGAAAAGTGCTTAGTCGATCGAGATCACATATCCTCGGGGGCGGAGCTACGTCACAAGACGTTCTACGTTGCTAAGACGCGCACCACTGTACAACGTATTTCTATGGGCTTTGTGCACGCTGCTGTGGAACGCCGGTGCCTCCGGTGAAAATCACAGGCGCTCGGAACGTTTCTTGGCTAATAAAAAACGACCTGAAGTGGGATCGGCATAGTTAGTCAGTCGCCGGTAAATTCCCCTACTACTCACATAATAACACAAGGTAGGAAAGCGTTGACACCATGACATCGAAACTTCCCGAAAATAACACGATTTTCCAAATTATATTTCGATCCGCTTCACACAACTCAAGCATGATATCGGTATAAACTATCGATCGACTTACATTTCCTTT